TATTTCTCAAAAGATGTCCTGTATGTTTAAGATAGTTGATGTCCCATATACTACTGCTAAAATCTGGTCCAACTCAAGTCCTTAGATTTTAACCCCCTCAGACTTACTGAAGGAAAGTGGCTTTGGAATTCAAAACGTGATCTCTCATTTTGTGGATGGTCCTTATCTTTGGAATGGCTCAAACAAAATCTTGATCACTATACAAACAACTGTGTTGGATACTTAATTATATTTCATAAGTTAGATAAAACCCAGACAGACAGGGTAAACTCAGACAGACAGGGTCATGCAGGCCCCCATCCAGCATTAAATATATTGGACCTGATCCTGAGCTGAGCTCTTGCGATGCCCAGGCACATACTTTGCATGTTGGGGCATGACCTGACTTCTTTCCCTGATCAGTTCCTTTTTTGGTGATGTGGGAGGGGGGGGAACGGGAGCAGGGACATTTGCATTCTTCTGGAATGGGTGGAGGAGATGGAGTTTTACTTCCACAAGAGAAAGAAAGAAAATATGTGAATTGTACACAGAACAAGTGCAGTCCGCAATTTCCAAATTGAAAGTGTCTAAATTTCCCTGGGAAATAGTCAATTTTTATGAGCAGGGTTCCTGAAAAACATTTTAGAGGGTTTTTTTTTTTTTTTTTTTAGAGCAATGTGTAAGTGCTAAATAGGCATCTTAGCCTAAAGCTTCCACAACTGATCACATTCAGTTGTGACCAAGTGCTTGCAGTACATGTTCATTATTACAAGGTAACCATGCTGCCTGCTGTAGTTTTAGTGTTGGGTGGGTTTTGCATTATCAACCTCTTTTTCATGGGGCTGGAGGGAGAGTTAAAATCTCAGCCATTTCAACATCTATCAGGCTGAGACATAGTTCACAGATATGATCTAAATATGGTAATCTGTGTAATAATACTTCATACTTATGTTCACTCTTTACAAACAACTAATTAATCCTCACAACACCCCTGCGAGGTAAGTATTATTATTTATTATCCCCATATTCACAGATGAGTGAAGTGAATTACCCAAGACCAAAGCAGGCAGACAGAGTGCCAAAACTCAGGAGTTCCTGGCTCCTGCTTTTCAACCACACTGCCTCTCTCTAGAATGGTTTAGTACCAGGGATTCAGAAGGAACATAGTATTTATCTGGTATCACATGCTTTCTTTAAAAAACAAAACAAAGAAGCCGCTGCAGCAGCACACAAGCTCCAGACAAGAAGTGGCTCTCTTTAAAGAAGGAGATTTAGCATGCAGTTAGTCCTCACCGTGGAATAAACCCTTTTGATATTTACAAAAAATACATCTATTTTGAAACAAACAAAATATCAAAGTAACTTAGCACACATGCTCACTAACTACCGGAACATAACTTTTTCAGATGGAGCAACTTCTCCTTGAAATGAGTAAACTGAAGTGTTTCCTTTCCCTCCTCCCCCACCATGTCAATTTAGCTCGTGTGAAAGGTGCAGGATTGACAGTTCTGGAAACTGAAGAGCTAGTCACAGAACTACAGCATGGGCAGGAGTGCAAGCTTCCCCACCTCAGTCCTGACCTGGAGAGACAGTAGGTTTAGTCTCTATACTCATTCAGTCCATGGTCTCTGCTAAGAATGCCCGCTAATGCCAGCTACGGTGTTTTTTCCCCCCATGATGTCCACTAGAAACTGAATTAAGACCAAACTCATTTTTATGCAAGCCACTGATATGCTTTGGGATTTTTACAAAATTTCAAACAATGCCAGTTTTATCACAGGAATATTGCTGACGACTTTGGACTCTTAGTGAGCTGCATGGGGGCAGGGGGAGGAATCTTCCGTTCAATTCAATGGGAGTTTAAGTGTCCTCACAAAACCCACCACTGTCATAAGCCATTACAAGTGTTGGGGGAATACATTAATTACGTCTAGATATGGCAGCATGTAAGATCCTCTCCAAGCAATGGGAGGGTGATACTGAAGAATGCTGAGCTGTTCTATAAACAGTCATCTTCTCCTACAATGCCTAAGCACAATGGGGGACTAGTTTAGGATGTTGTGACAACAGGACTGCAGGGCTTTAAAAAAACTTTCGGAGGTTTGTCTCTGATCCGTTATACTCTTCTAACATGCTGTTTCATTTTGTGTAATAAACAGACATTTTCTGTGTAATTCATTTGCTGAATTGATCTGCTGATGATGTTTAAGTTTCCAAACTAGTTTACCAAAACCATTTGACCTTTAGCAGGAACAGAGTAAAATGAGAATGCAGAACAGTGATTCATCCAGTAAAGAATTATTTATATACCTCAAATGTGTTTTTCATTAAAAAAAGATATTTATTTATACCATACATACTTCAAAAACAGTGTTTTTCTGTAGATATTCAGTTATTTTTGTTTTGTCTTTCAAACTTTCCATCTTGCTTGATTCCTAATAGCTTAGGATTGTGACAGGAGTGCAGTACAGATAACACTACAAAGGTTCATATGTTGAGAAGAATTCACCTTTACTGTTCTAACTTCCCTCTTTCAAAAGCATACTGGACATGTACAAACATAAAACAGAGCAGATCTCTTCTCTTAATTTGACGAGGAAAAATATTTAAGAATTTGGGGAAAAGTGAAAAAATGTAAAATAATAAGTCAGCAAAAACTGCTTAGGGTTTTGCTGTACATATTTCTTGTCTGACACACTGGACTTTTCATATAGTTTCTATGGAATCCACAGATGTTTTCAGTCTTTTCTCACTGTACATTACTAAAGAGTGACCAGAAGCTCGTCTTAAATAACACATCCTATAGAAGCATGTTTTCAGTCTCTTTTGAAGGATTTTTTTTTAAATTAATTTTATTTTCTACAAATGGAAACACTGCATTATCTGTTGAGTCTCACTTTTGGAATACTGAAATGTACAATGAATCCTAAAGGGAAAGGATCCACATAAACCGTTTCCTCTGGCAAATTTAACAGGAGTGAGTGCTCATGTGGACAAAATGATCAAAATGCACAACAAATCAACACAACCTGAAGCTGAAACAAAGGAGCATTTCTGACTCTCAGCGTAACAAGAGAAATGTTTGAGGCCATTAAATACAGAAAAGGAATACATTGTCTTTAAGTGAGCATTGTATGCTGAAATATTCCTTGGCTTAAAAAAAAGTCTATAACACACACCCTAATGGTTTTGGCTGTAGGCTGAACTTAAGTAAATATCATCATTCAGTCAGTATGTTGTGGTAGCTTAGGCTGCCAGTGCGGTTTACCAGCTCAAGCACCATGTGTAAACACCGGAAACAAAAAAAGATTCGGAGGGCAGCCTCTCCCTCAGTCTCTTTCAACTGCTTGTTCCCTTTCTCTCTCTCTTTCTCTCTCTATCTTTCCTGGACTACTTTCATTCTTCTCTGATGATTCTTTTCATTCTTCTCTGATTCTTCTTTTACCATATGGGTAAAACACAAAACATTAACACAACTATAGTTTTGGTTTTGCCTCTAATTTATCCAAAGGGAAGGTAACCCAATAAAAAGTCCAGCACGTGTTTTCAGTGCTTCTAAGTGCTTCTGCCATTAATGTCTTTCATTTGCTTTTATAAAACATGCCTTAATCATACTACAGCACTTTCCACTGCAAATCAGACAACTTTACAGAACAACAGAGTTAAGACTTTTTTTTCCTTTCTTTCTTTCTTTTTTTTTTTTAAGAACACAAAAACCCAGGAATAAGGAGCACCAGAATGGATTCACTGTATCTAGCTTTGTTCTGCAGTAAGTAATTTCAGCATCTATATCCTGCAATATTATTCTTGCTCAACAGAGGAAATGCCTCCACTGATTCACACCACATAATTCTGTTTTCCTTTTATGTAATGTAACATATAAGAAATAAAGATGCACTGTTGATTCTAATAATATTTGACACTTGAAAAAAGCACCAAGTGTTCTTTATGTTTTTCTTCCCCTAGCATTTTTCTGTTAGCCAAAAACTCAGCCTCTGGTTACAGTGAGTAACTAGTTATATTTTCTTTTCTGAAAACTTGTGCAAAGTTGGCACTTTTGTATTAACACTAAACACTAATACTTTTTGTTTGGCATTCATGCCCCATACTGACCAGACCACTTTTATCTAAGTGTTGTTTTTTTTTAAAGACACTTACTGAAAATATGGCAATAGTTTAAGGGAAAAAAAAGCATGGATATTATTACACATCCCCTTGTAGTGTATGAAAAAAGTGCATGACTGGATTTATGTAATAGTACAAGACAAAAAAGCTGTATCAGATCAGGTACTGTAAAGCATGCCAGCCCTTCTGTATTACTTATATATAGCAGGTAGTTAAAACAAGACCGTGTTTCTTTTAAAAATGTGCATTAAAGCTAACATAAATTGAATAGAGCTAGCCAGCAAACTATTTTTTTCTGCATATCTAACAGCTGGATGTAACTGTAAAAATTAAAAAAAAAAAAAAAGAGAGAGAGTTAAACCACCATCAATACAATTGTTTTACATCATAGGCCTCTCAAGGCTCAATATATATACAAGTGTAACAGCCATGCTTAGTAGAAGTTTCTCCCAACGGCTTAAAGTACACAAAGACAACCAAGAAGTTCTTCCCCCCACCCTCTTTTTGCTTCTTTGTTTTTTTGCAGGCAATAATCATAGGTAGAACAATTTGTCTCTTTGGAGATGACCAAGAATTTCATAACAAAACTGGGGCTAATTGCAAGTTTTTGTGGTTTTTATTGAGGGTATTTCACCCCCAGTTAAAGATTCCATCCCTTCTTAACCTTCCCCTGTCCCCCCACCCCAAACCCAACAAAGGAAAATGAAAACAAACAAACAAAAGCACCTGGTGTTTTTCTTTTGTTAAAAAAGAAAAATAGATATATATGTGTGTGTGTATATATATATACACACATATATATATCTGTGTGTGTGTGTATGTATATATATACACATATATATATATATATACACACACACACACACAGATATATATATAGACTGTATATGGCAGTTCAAACATGGTAGGCCCTCCGTGAGAGCTGGCATTTGCGTGTCCGTCCTTAAACTAATCTACTGAAGTGAAGGGAATGTTTTTATGCAGGTTAGGGTTCTGACTGTGCCGATTTCGGCTGCGGACAGAGGAAAACATCATGTTGCACCCAGGGACTTTGCACTTGTGCATTTCTCGCAAGTGCACCGTTTTATAGTGCACCCTGAGGGTCCCCTTGTTGCTGTACATTTTGTGGCAAATGTTACACATTATCCCACCGTTGCTCATTGGAACATTGTTGAACATGAGGGATCCTGGAAGGTCGGAACCCATACCTACACCTATGGCAGGGGTGTCCATTTTGTGTGCAGATTCCCCACTGTCACTTGCCCCATCAACGTCATCCAGGAGAATCCCCTCATCACTGCCTGCATCAGATTCTCTTGAGGAATGGATACTGCTGCTAGACTGGATGCTGGAGGTGGTGCTCAGGTCTAGGACCATGTAGTCTTCAGATATGCCCCTTCCATACCCATTCATGTGGGAATCCTCAGTACCAGCTGGTGAGGAGGTGTCTTCCCTTACGTCAAGCCCCATTTGATGCTGGGTGCCATAGATCTTCACCAAAAATTCATCACGGAGGTCCTTACTAAGAGAGGGCTGAGAGGTATCCAGTCCCATGTCATCCAGTTCTTTGGTCAACAGTTTACGGTGCAGGTTTATGTTAGCACTGTGCCTGGGAAAAGAAGAAGGAAGGGAAGAAAGAGAAAAAAATGTACAGTATTTTTCATTAAATGTATAGTTGCCAAGCATGAAACATACATTTCTGATTTAGCAATCATTTAAAATGCAAAGCTATTGTTGCCCCTGGTTTCTTGAAAATCCAATCATTCTTATAAGGGAGAGGAGGAATTTGTAACAAAATGACAAATACAAAACAAAGTAAACAAAAACCCTTTCCAACAAACAAACAAAAACATAACCCACCCTACTTTATTTTTTCCACTACCACCCATCATCATTAGCCTCAGCAGTGGCTGCAGCCTTTATGTTTCCGGTTGAAAGCATACTTCAGCCTAATAAACAATGTGACATACTGTTTTTGATTCTTGAAATGGGGTTTTCAGAAACAGTAATTCAAGGAAGAAAAAAAAAAACTCTGCAAAATCAAAAACCACAGTACAGGAGAAGCACAAGAGTAAGACAATTGGGTAGTATGTAGTCACAGGTCCTGATTGTGATCTCACTAAAACTGGTGTAAATCACAAATCAAAGGAGTATAAGGGTGATCAGAATCAGGCCCAGATGAAAACACTTATGGGGATTAGGAGCACAAGTCCCAATGAAAGTCAATTTGGGCTTGTCTACAAAGTGTGGCAATGTACCTCAGAGGGATGTAAATTTAAGAGCTCTCTAAAGTGTTGTGCTCTACGTGCACTGTGTAGACCCTGCTGACAAACAAAGCACATTTATGTAGTACTGCTTCAAACGGGTCTATACCAGCGCACACTAGGTACCCTTTAGAGTGCCTCAGCAGCGTCTACACATAGGGAAGTTAGAACACAACATTTTAGAGCCTCTACAATTTACAGCCCTCTAGTGTTCACTGCTGCACGGTGAAGAAAAGCCACTAGAGGTTTTTAAAAATCTCACCCAAAGTCATCTGGTCCATCCTCCTGTCAGAGCAGGGTTGTTGTTCTCCAAAGTATATTTCCTAGTGCTTGGTCCAGTGCAATTTGAAATGACTCAAGCAATAGAATTTCCAGTAAAAATTACGGATGAATGCACAGGGCTTTGGCGTCAATCCATGAAAACACTTAAGCACATGCTTAGCTTTAAGCATGAAATCAGTGGGACTATTCCAGAGTCTCTGGGAAAGCTCCAACTGACTTCAGTGGGCTTTGGATCAGGCCTCAAGAGCTTAAAGTTAAGCATGTTCTCAGGTGCTTTGCTGGATCAGGGTCTTATCTTCAAGAATTAAGGATCTATATATGCAGTGAAACATAAGGCTTCATCTCAGTAATTGTGAAATATAGTCTCCTATTTGAAACATTGAATTTTACTCTCCATTTTTGATATAAGCCTTTTAGATAGTCTATAGATTTTAAGCACAGTAGAACTTCACTGATTTGCACAAATGACTGGAAAACTTTTAAAATTAGTGAGTAAACCAACAAACATGATAAAAATATCAAAATACTTCAACACAGAAAGTATGTTTGGTAAATGTTTCATTTTAATTACGATAATACAAAATAAAGTTTTAGTAATTATAAGACCTCACATTAGAGTACTCTGATTTTGAACCATTGCTGAGAAGTAGGATGAGACTGATATTTTGAGGGGAGAATGATTGGAATTTCAAATTTGTGACGTAAGAATTAGTGAAGTTCCACTGCTTAACATTTTCAGTTTGCAAACTAAGGACACGAATCCTACAATTTACAACATGCAGGCTCACCAGGTCTGCCTGCTCATTATAAATTGAAGATCAGAGTCTGAATGTGGGGAGGGAGGGAGGGAGGGAGGGAGGGAGAGAGGATTTATCAATAGAATAGCATAACACACAAAAAGATCAAAAGTACTGGATACAAAATTGGACAAGAGGGCACATAATGACCCAATGTTCTCTGTACTTTCGGGTCCTAGAGTAGCATCAAAAGAAAAAATTAAAAGTCAGGTATGGGCAGTGTTTCCTAACTGGAAACTTCATTTTTAGAAAACCCACAAGAGCATATCTCTCAACCAGCTGAAGTCCCAAATATGATACAGTGACTCAGTATGGGTCATAAGACAAATACTAATGCAGAAACGTTAAAATGATGTGGGGTTAATTTATTTAATTTTCTATTAACTATTTCATGATTCATCATGTCTGTTGTACATAATTTACAGTGATAAACGTGAGAAGTTAGAGATGGAAAGGATCAAACCCATTCTCCTGCAAGTGAAGGTTACTGTTCTCAGACTGAGGATGGATTGGATGTCAAACTGATACTGCACTTCATTTTATTCCAACCAGATCTGCACAGGATGTAGGTAAATTTGGATCCAAAATGGAGCTCTCATAATGAGAGAGAGTTGAGAGGTATGTCCAAGGGTAAAGAAAAGTGGAAAGCATTTATTGTTCTATTCCCATGTGGGAAACACACTTTTCACACAAGCAAATACAGTACTGTTGCTTTTCGTAGGCACAGAAGTGTATTATACACATCCCCACACTGCACTTATGAAGGCTGAGCTTACCTTGTGATAAGATCAGCTTTCTAATCTTTTGCTAAATCGAGATCACAAAAGAGAAAGAGAGAGAAAAAGAGAGAGAGAAAGAGAGAGAGAACAAATTCACATTCCAATCCAGACATATCTGGTTTAAAAAATAAACAAAATCTTAAAATGATAAAATACAGGTTAAAAAATGTGTGGACTGTGAGATCATTTTCTGTCAGCCATCAGCTCACTTACACTGCTGTCGTGGTGGATATTGGATCAGCCACACAATCCAAAATCATAAATCAAATTAGACAAAGCAAATTCACATCATCATCCACAAATGAGCTCTAAACAGATGCAAGCAGTGTGTACAGACATGAATGATAAACAGAAGTTGTCCCTATAGTCCCTGCTTCAACACAGTTGTTCCTTGCCTTTCCAGTGTCAGACGGTAGATGACTCCAAGTGGAAGTTGCTAAGCATGGCATAGGAAATGCTTACTGTGGAAGCCTATATATGCTGACAAGCGGCTATGGTATCACCAGAGTTATTGCATGAGTGTAAAAGCACAGTTGTGCTTATCAAAATAACAGCTAACTGCAAACTCCTGAAATGCTCTTCTGGATTTATTTCTTACCATTTCTCCTACTCCTTTCCCCAACCCTTGATTTCACACTAAAAAGAATATGGGAATGTGCTTCCATGTAAAACTGGCTGGGTTAACTTTAGCTGTCTGTCGTTTCTCACACTTCTGCACTTACTATTTCCTCAATTTGCTGCTAGGAAAACAGCAGCCAGATGTGTAGTGAAAATAATTTCAAAATTCATTGAATGAAGAGATAACAATACATTAACATGGTTAAAAAGGATGCTCTGAGACCACCAAATGGACATATGCCTTCCTGAGGATGATCTGTGAAAAGATGCAACCCCACTGATGCTATGATAGGGCAAGATGCCTCCCTGATTCAATTCTCACTTACAGCAGTGGCAATCAGTAATCTAATTAATCTATGTACCAGCCCTTAATATCTGTCAGCTAAACGATGTGCAGAAATGTGTGGACAAGTTCTGGCACTCTGTTCAGCAGTGTCCCTTTTCCGCTGTCAGCAGTACTGTTGGCTTTTCCTAATATAATTACATTGACTTTTATTCAATTAAGTGCCATCCCTAGCTTAAAAAACCCTCTACTTTATCAATAGATTCAGGTGTAATGCAATAATAAAGATGAACTCATGGCAGTGCATTAGCTCTGCTGTTCATAACTTCGGAACATAAGTTCATTCATAGCAGTCGATTTCCATTATGCAACCACAGTTCAAAAGAATTGATTATTTTACATTCATTTCTTAATCTATTTCACTTGTGTTTAATAATCCTCCTAAATATCATATGCAAAAACATTCCACTAAGGATGGGAGGAGCGCACTGAGGGGAAAATCCTGCATTCATTTGGACATTGTGGGTTTGAAATTTTGTGTTGAAACCAAAGCCATAGAGGTTAAAGCTCCATTAGAATTTGGAATATTCTGTATTGAAGTTGCCAGCCACTCAGATTGTCGCGGGTGAATGATTGGTAGCATAGGAAAGGGGAGAAAATGAGTTGACATTACACTGGGGGATGATTCTACATTCCTTCCTTTTCCTGTCCAGTGCATTAAGAACATGGCAGTGTGCTGCAAGATCCCAACTCAGGACAGCACTTAAGAAGGTGCTTGAGTGGTGTCCTGAATAGAGATGCTTTCCTGAATGAGGGCCTTAGTGTTTCCAGAGCTTCAATGGCAAAGAAAGTCTGGTGACACGGATGTCTCTGTGTGTGTTGCAGTGTGCATGTATGGGTGAGGATGGCTGAGGATACAGGACCTGAGACAGAAAGCAGAAGGAAGGTATGAAAGCAGAGAGGAGAGCCGATAGGAAAAGAGGCCTTGAAGAAACTAGCAGCATAAAAAGGGAGAAGGACTGGAAGCAGGAAGGCAGTAGTATTAATAGCTAAAAGAGAGTGGGGCTTGGAAGCAAAACTGAGTGTGTTGAAAGCCATGGTGAAAGGCATTTTACAAATTCGGAATGCAGTGTATGAGCAGAGGCAGTGCTCTGAAAGCACAGAGCATAAACAGAAAGAGAGAGGAAGGAATAAGCAGAGCCCTAAAATTGTCATCATCACCTCCTGTCTTCAATAGTGCAACTTCTTCCTCTTTGGCTTCCTCGTCACCTATATCACCCCTCACAAAGAAGCTGCTGCTATTTTTATCTTCCTTACCTGCAACTCGGATCACATCACTACCCCTTGTAAATCCCTCCAGTGGGTCCACCCCTTGCACCACATCCAGTTCAGGCTTCTTATCCTGACCTTTAAGATCCTTCACAACTCTGCCCCCTCTGTTTATCTGCTCTCGACTCTTAGCATGTTAACCTCTGCTTCTGCAACATGCAAGCCTTTGAGTGCCACCTGTTTGACCGATCCTCCCCAAAGTACCTGTGCTTTCTTCCACATCATCCTTTATGCATGAAATGCTTTCACTGAACTGA